GGATTCACAGCCTCTGAGCCTTTCTCTGCTTGGGAAAAATACAACATCCTCCCCTAAATGTTCCTCTGGGCACTGGGGGTCTGCAGGCTGCCAGGGGAGGAGCAGCAGGAATGGCTCTGGTCTCTGCCCTCCTGCCCACACCTAGACAGGTGCCCTGCTGTGGGTGCATGGCTGCTGAGATACCTCAGTGAGTGTGTCTGAACAGGGACACAAACAGCAGCAAAGTCACCCCAGAATGCTAAGCATCCCTTGCAACACGTCTCAATCTCACCGGGACGTGCTGCAGATGCAAAAAGAGCGGGCCAGGCTGAGGAAAATCACCTGAGCAGTGTCTGAGGCTTTAATCAAAGTGTGCCTTGTGCAGCCTGGCTGCTGCTGGCCACATCCACCACAAAAGCAATCAGCAGGCTCAGGATGGGCAGGAGCCAGCTGCAGGCAGGGCTGGTGGTCTGCACTGTGGAGGTGTCACTGGATTAACTATTTCCAGAGGAGAAAAAGAGCTCTGTCAGCTCCTGAGAGCCCAGACCCCAGTTACACGGGGTAACTGGGAGGAAGGGCCGTGCTCTAGGTGGCCAGCACATGGCACAGGCTCCACAGGCACAGCTAACCACAAAACCCATGCTCCAAAGCCCAGGGCCAGGGGAGTGTGGAGGGCAGGCAGCAGGGAGATGGACTCAGCCTGCTGGGGCAGGCAGGGGTCTGGTGGATGCACTCAGGTCCCCAAACTCACCTCTGCAACAGCAGCAGAGAGCTATGACAAAAACAGGGCCATGTAAACCAGCCCCAGGGCTTGGCACAGCCAGCAGAGGGGTGGGATGAGTAGGAAACAGAGGGAGACAGGCTGGGGGTCCAGTGGTGCTGCCTATGAGGTGTCCCCAGGCTGTGTGAGGCAGGGTGTCCCTGGCACCGCTCAGACACCCTCCTCATGATGGAAATCACCCAGGCATGGTCCCCGAGGGGCCTCTCTGCCAGAGACAGCAGAGCTTTGATAAGGGACATCCACACAGGATTCCTGCTGCCCCCCAGGCAGTGAAGCTGCAGCCAGGAATGACTCTTAGGGTGAGAAGGGCTGGACAGAATGAGCAGGGTCATGCTGTCCAGGAGCCTTGTTTGTTCCCAGCTCATCATGGGGCCACTGCAGCCTTGTCATAACTGGGGAAGAGAACAAGTTTGGAAATTCACCAGATTAAGAGTCAGGCTGGAGACAGAACTGAGCTAGGCTGCCAGCAGCCTCATCCACACCCAGGCTGGACCGAGCTGAGCCCACTCACAACCATCCCTGCTCCTCCTCCAAGATACTTACCCTGCAATACTGGACTGATCCCTTTAACTCATCTTTGCCTCCTGCTCCCTGCTGGGACACCCCAGCTCTGGGGCCACAAGTCCCTACACTCCCCTGCTGAAAACCCTGGGCTCCACACAGAACCCAGAGAGTCCCAAACCACAGAAGACAACCCTGGAGAGGAGCCAGGAGTGCTTGAGTCTGCACCTCAGGGGTGGAGGAATGCAGGGGGATCTCCCCCAGGCCCTCTGCTCTCTGCAAGCAGCCTGGGGTGGGCATGATTAGGGGACAGGGAGAGGGAGAGACATAATTTAACATTTCATTAGGTAACTACAAGGCATTGATCTGCCCTACCATCCTGCACACTCTCTAATTGCAAATCTCCATTCTTATTAGTTCTATCGAAAAAGCAGAGAGCAGCACTCAGGAGTCTGATCCTATCTTTAGGAAATTTCAAACAGAGATGTAATTGTGGAGTGCTCGAAATCACGGTGCTTTACCCACTGTTAACAGTATTTTAAAGCCATGATCATCAATAGCAGTCCTCGGGATGAGCTCCCAGCAGATGCCATTAATCCTATTTTGGCTGTGGTCACCTGGTGTCTCTGGGCTCAGATTTACACTTGGTGACAAGGGACAGTTCTGCTTCCCCAGCAGAGAGGGCTCCCAGGCAGCCCTCAGGGACTGGCTCCAGAGGCAGAGGGCAAGCATGAGAAGCTCCTTAAACCAGCTTCACCCCTTGCAAATGTGCCAGCAGATGGAGAGGAGCAGCTCTGCACCAGGGGCTGGCACAGGGATGGATGTTCATGGCCATGCAGGGGTCTGGGGAGAGCTCCAGCCAGGGCAATGGCCCCACTCAGGAATAAACCACGACATTTACTACATCTGCAGAGGAAATGGATCTGGGTGACACAAGACCAGGATGGGCCCCTCGGTCTCTGCAGAGAGATGGGAATCTTGGAACAGCTACAGCAGACCAGCAGGTCCCTGGGAGGTGATGCCCAGGGGGGACATCAGCCAGGACACACACAGGGGAGGGCTGCTCCCATCTCCACTAACCCACCCTGCAGGGACACATGGGCAGGTGGGATCCATGGTGAGATTCAGACCTGGGGGGAATTTCAGCTGCTGAAAAATCTTGCAAAGCTGGAGGAGGAACAGATGATCCTGCAAGCTGCTGGGAGAGCCTTGCAAGCAGGAATGCTGCAGGAGGAAGGGAAATTCCTCTGTCAAATGCAAACTAGCAGGTGTGAGAAATCTGGGTGTGCAGGAGGGAGAAAGGACTTTGCATCACACCCTGTATCCTCGAAAGCCAGGCACCTGCCTCTGCTTATCCCTCAGCAAGGAGGGATTCCCCAGCATGGCCTCACTGCTGCGTGGGCTGCAAGGGGGCTCTGTGTGCCCCCAGAATGTTTCTTTGCCACTTCTGCACAACAGATACAAAATCTGTGTGAAGAAAAGGCTTAGTCTGGGAAGTGGAGACAGGAGCATTCCTGGGCTCAGGACATACCCTGCGTCCCAAAAGCCCTCCCAGCATTACAAAGCGTCTCGTGTTTGTGTGCTCAGTGCCTGTGGGCTCAGGTTTTAATTAAAGAGGAACTAGATACTATTTCCAACCTTCATTTATGCCACGCTGGATGCCACACCGGGGACTCTTTGAGCAGCTCAGGTCTGCTAGGAGAACAGATGTGCATCTCTGTCACGAGCGAGTCCCCACTGTGGACACGTGTCCTCCTGCACTGCCAGGGCAGGGAAACGACATCTCCACTGTGACTCGGGTCTCAGCACTCTGCTCTCAGCTGCCCATCCCAATCCATCCTATCCCATCCCACTGGCCTGCCACTGGTTGCAGCAGAGGGGCTGAAAGCAGAGCATGGGACTGGAATGCTGCTGGAGCCCCCCTTGTAGGCTGGGAGAACAACAGGATTGGAACTCCTGAGCAGCCACAGGTCATCAGAGCATCCCAGCCCCTGCACACTGTTGGGAGGGCCCTGGTTTAACCCTGGAGCAGGGGAGCTCCAGCTAATTAGTCATTAATTGCTTCAGAAGGGAAAGGAGCCAAGACAACCTCTGTGTGCCTGTAGCAGAGTGACCTGTGGGCCCTGGGACACAGCCAGCTGCACATCACTGAGCAGTGGCCGAGGGTCTGTCTGTCACAGCAGAGCTGGACAAGCAGCCCAGCACAGTGGGTGTCCATCCCAGCAGCCTCCCCAGCCCCTTCCTGCCCCCATGGGACTCCTGGGAGCTCCCAGCCTCTGGCAGCAGCTTGGCAAGGCTCTGAGCTTGCTGCAGTGAGAGGCAAGCCCGGCTCATTTAATCTATTCAATTGGATTCAATTTCCAGCCACATGATTCAATTAGCCCTGGAGGGACAGCACAGAGAGCAGAAGCTGCAGAGCATGGTCCAGCCTGTGCTCTGGCAGCTGCCAAGCTGGGAGAGGGCAGCACTGGGCCCTGTGCTTGTTCTGGCCCTCTGGGATGGGCTGAGATGTCAGGGGCTCCAGGGGAGCCCCATTCTGTCCCAGGGCACAAGCTGCTGGTCCTGAGTGATGTGTAGGCAGCTGGAGGGCACCGCTGGGGAAGCCCCATCCTGAACATCTCTCTTTGCAGCCAGTGCCAGCCCTGAGGGCTGACAGCCACACTGGGTCAGAGCTGAGGTCTGCAGCCCTGAGCACCTGCCAGGGTGGCCCAAAGAAGCTTTAGAAAGACAACAGCATCCAGCAATGCTCCCTTGAGGGTGCTGCCTATCGTACACATTTGGGATCAGCCCTCTGTTTAATCAGTGTCCCCCTGGGCACAACCACACTGTGCTGTACATGGGAGAGCCAGGGCTCTGACCAGCAAAGGACCAGGGGTTTGCTACTACCTGCTCCTGGCAGCTCCAAAGAACACACAAAACACCATTTGGAGCTGCTGGCCCATGCAGGGAAGACTCAGCTCCTGAGGAGCTGCCTCTCTCTCAAGTCTGCATGAAAAGTGGGACCTGTAAGAGCTCAGGAAAAAGAGATCAAAAATCAGTGGCACTTACAAAACAACTCTTAGTAACTCCCTCCAAAGTTTAGCTCAAATTCAATTCTCTTCCAGGTCATTATTTTGTAAAGTATTTGTCTCTCTGCAGCTGCTGCATAATTTAAAGGTAGCAATCTGACTTCTCCCCACATTCCCCAAGCCTCAGAAACAGCTCTTCCAATAACAGACAGAGTTATGAATTAGATATAACAAAATACACTCACCTGCTCAGATCAGATACAGGGAAGTTGGAGGCTGTCACACACATCCTGAAGCTGAACATTAAGATTTAAATTACTTTCTGCTCAGTTCAAGCTGGCCTCAAAACACAAATTGTAGTAGGGTGTTTAACAAAGCAGACAAATGTGCAGCAGAATTTGTGAGCAGGAGTCTGCTGACACCAGCAACAGAGAGCATCACACACAGCCAGGTCCCTGCATCCCTCACTCACGGGCTCAGCCTTGCTCGAGGTTTCCTTAGTGCCAGCCCAGGGACACGCAGGAGGAAGAGGGCTGCTGAGTCCTGGGTGGTACCTGCACACTGGACCAAGGACAGAGCATCACTGTGCAGCACCACAGCCGCCCTCTGCTCAGGCTGGAAGAGCCCAAGGGCAGTGATAGCCCTGCTGCAGCCAGTGTGCCACCAAACGGTGACAGGGCCACTCCCCAGCCACCCCACTCTCCCTCCAGTGAAGGACAAACACCGCACACTCTGGACAGACGGGGCTCTGCTATTTATTGAGCTCTAGGTTTGTATGTACATCCATTTACAGTGCTTGGTTCAGTGACAGTGTGACAAGAGGACATGTATCACAGTCTTCCCCAGCTCAGACTTGGGTGAGGGCTGGGCTCAGGAACTGATCCTACACATGCCTGGGCTTCTATGAGCATCCCAGCAAGGGAGCACCCTCAGGGAGACAGGATAGCTGAGCCCAGAGTGAGAAGCTGAAAAGTCCAGAGGCTGCCAAGTCAGAAGCAGACTCATCCCAAACTCTCTCATGTATGTGTCCAGGCTCGGCCTAAATGGGCTCAGAGAACAGGAGGCATGAGGACAGCTGGATGACTCAATGCTCCACCAGTCACAATGCTGGGGCTGCACCTCAAGTCCCCTTGAGAAGGTGAGATCCCACCCCTCAGAGAGTGAGATCCCCCTCTATCCCCCCAGACAAGCACCACGTACTGCAAACAACTGTTCCTCATTTTCCACTGGAAAAGCTGCCTCCTCTACATGCCCTGGCTTGTTCCCAAGCAGTGATTTTATGGAGCCTGCTTGCTCTCCCCTAAGCACTGTCCCTCTGACACATACACATTCCCATACACTTGCATGGCAGAAAGCAAATAAACGTCTGGCTTAGCTGTTAAAAGCCAGACAATTCCCTGCTGAGGAATAGTATCATCTGCTGAGAGAAGCCAGTGCTCCCAAGGAAAACACAGGGATGTCATCAGTGTTGTGCCCAGTGGGTGGCCAAGGACACAGCTCTCAGTTTCCCATGCTCATAGCAGGTAAGATGAAACATTAACACAATTAACGCACAATAGCATGAAAAAAGCCTTGCCTAAAAATGGTAGTAAATGAGCATGACATCCACATTACTCACACTAACCTACAAGGCTAAGAGCAGGACTAGGCACTTTTTAAAAAAAAATCTGTTTTCTAGGGGGAGGAAAAAAAACTGTGGATCTGGGATGTAAAAAACTTCTCTACTTCAGTCCACCAAGTCAGGCCAGATCCTAATATCATAACATCAGTGCTGGGAGCTGAAAATGCATGAGCAGGGAACAGGTGTGGAACAGGTGTTCATGCTGCGTATTCCTGAGCTGGAAGCCTGACACAGCACTCTAAACAGGCTCTGCCAGATGTGGGCACCTCTGCAGCACTGGCTCTGGGAGCAGAGAGGTGCCTGTGCCCCAGAGCATCATCCCAGAGCTGCTCCTTGGGAAGCCCTCAGCAGACACGGCTGAACGTCGCTTGGTGAAGACAGGAGGGCAGGAAAGTGAAGTCACTACTTCTCCAGATGCATTTTAACTGTGTGCTACACACAAAGGAAAAACTGGAGACTTCTTCATTTATGAAGGTCACCAGGCACCTGCAAACATGTGCAAGGCAGATGTTCCTGTGAGGAAGAGGAGGATTGTCGCAAAGCGGTCTCTGATGGGCAACAAGGTGAGTGGGGAGAAGGAGTCAGCCTCTGCCCCATGAAAACCAAATATCTAAAAATGTCCCTCTACCTTAGAAACAGCAGATGAGCTGGGGCTACTGGAAGCAACAGTGACCCCAAGCAGAGCTGGTCTCCAGTAGCAAAGTGCTCTGTTTGATGACCCATATTCTTGGATCCTGGCTCACAATGGACCCTGCAAGCCAACAGCCTTGGAAGCAAAGTTTCCCCTTTTCCAATGGCTTGGTTGAAGTGACACTTTTTGACTCAGGAGACAGCAGTGAGCAAGGCCTGCTCCTTGGGGAAACTGTTTTATAATCCAAAGCCATTCCCAATGGGATTGCAATGGATTTGACTTACGTGACAGGAGGACACGTTGACCCAGGCTGATGGACAAGAACAGCCCTCACCTGGGACCAAAGAGCTTTCCCCATAGAGCAGGTGAGCAATCTCTACCCAGAACAGTTTCACACAGCTGGGCTGGTTTTATTATTTCAGTTGTGAGCTCTCCCCAGCTCTGCTACAAAGGTTTCCAGTGCATTTTCCCTGAGGCTGTGGAGGGAATGTCCCATTGCTATGTCACAGAATTGGCTGCCCACTCCCGCGGCACCATAAAAAGTTGCTTCCTCCTCAACGTGCCAATCAGCTCTCCTCAGCCCAAGTTCTGTTTAAACACATTCCTTTGGGATCAGACACACAGCAGCAAGGCGTTCCCCTAAAAGAAACTCAGTCCCTTCCGCAGGCACAGGGGCCCGGCCGCAGAGCGGAGTGTCCCTGCCCACCGGGCCGCCCGGCTCTGCCCGCGCTGCCGCAGCGTCCCCGCCTCACGAGATCGTCGAGAATTCCTTCAGCAGCAGCTCCTGGCTCAGCGTGTTGAAAGCAAGGTTCTTCCTCACGTTGATGCTGATGGAGCGAACCTGACAGAAACAAAACGAGATGTTTTAGCCACGGGACTCGTCCTGGCTCCTCATGAGCCCGGCGGTTTTGACACTGCTGACCTCCATGCCCAGCATGAAGCTGTTTTGCACTTCCAGCTGCACAAAAATTGCTGCAGCAAGCTCTCACTGAGACTCCAGCCTAGCAAGGAAATGCTGAGGTTCAGCTGTTCCTTGGAAAAACAGGAATGTCTACAGTGACATCCCAGCAAGGAGAGTAAACTCCCAATGAGACAGGGATGGGAGAAGATGCTCTGTGTGGATGCAGGATGTGATGTCGTTCCTGTTCTGGGGCAAAGAGATGGGGGAAGTGAGCATTCCCAGGCTGCAGCCTAAAGATCATATTTTATCAATGCCCACCAGAGTGCCAGTGAGCATTTCCCAGATCAGTGTAGTGCCATGGCCTCTGTCCTGCTCCAGAACCCCAGAGCCAAAGATACAGACTGAAGGGGAGGACAGAGGCCATGCCACTGTGCTGTAAACACAAATCATCACCCAGGCTGGCAGAAACCCCTGGGTTCAGAGCCAGCTGTGTGTATTCTGAGTGCTGTACACATGCAGCTGGCTCACTGGCTGTCTCTGAAGAAGAGACACCTTTATCCCTCAATGACACCCAGACTTCTGGTCACCCACAGAGCACAAAGAAGAGCTGGACAGCCCTGTTGACAGCAGCTTCCCTTCCCCCCTCGTGCCAGCAGACTCCCTGGCCAAATACGCAGGCCCCAGACTGGGCTCAGTCTCAGCTGCACTTGACAACGAGAAAACAAAGTCAAACATCATCTGTGTCAGCGACTGTGCAGCAGTGACAGAAAGCAAAACTGACACAAGCTCATCCAAACAACAGGATTACAGTTCCCAGAGACTTGGAGCCTGTGATAATAAGGTTGTTGCTGACCTGGTTAGTGTTTTGTACTTTCTAAAAGCACTGGAGGAAGAATTCCATAGATGCATAATGAGGAATCCAATACCAGGGGCTGGAAGAGCATATATATACACACTGCTGAGGGTCCCACTTGCTACCCAGTGAGAAAAACACACTGAAAGGGCAGAAAGCTACCCAAAAGGCAGAATGTGTAAGAAAGGGAAGGAAAGCAAAACTTGGAAGGTTATCAGGGAAAGCTGTGAAATGAACCCCAGTGAGCCCCATTGCATAAACCCTAACAACTCGAGCACACCAGCAAAGATGAATACCCTAAGAGACAAAGTACTTAAGTTTTAAGTAATCTGCAAAAACCACAAACTCTCCTTCATCAGGATGCTTGGCAGAGACCCCAAGCATCTTTGTTCCCTTGGAGCACCCCTTCAACTCTCTGCTTTAGGTGTTTTTTGACTTACTCCATCCTCAAATAGTTTGGGACCACATATTGCAAGATAAGCACGGTTGTACCCTGTGTTAAACACCACTGCAAGGGGTCTCCAGAGCACTGGCTGGCACAGGTCTGTCCTGCTGCCAGGAGACAGGAGTCCCACTAACAGGATTTGGTCCCAGTCCTGCCAAGTGCTCCAATGATCCAGTCAGTTCTTACAAGAAGGAAAGAACACGAGCAATGAGCTGTGGGGAGTTCTCTGCTCTGGGGAATATCAGTGCCTGAAGAAAAGGGGCAGATGCTATAAGCAGTATCCTTATTCTGACTAAAAGCATTTCTGTGGGTCCCAGCAACACAAAGTACAAGCAGTAATGAGCTCCTGGACTCAGGAGCTGCTGCCAGGACTCAGGCACCAGCAGCAGAAGATTCCCAGCTTGTATACACATCAAGGTCTCCAAGAAGGAGTCTCTGCAAGCCCAGAAAGTGAGGCTGGAGTGGCACAATGAGAACACAGGGCTTAGCAGAAATTGTAGCTATGGGGTAGAGCACAAGAAATTAATTAGCCTGATTAGTTTGCAAAGAGAAGGAGGAATAGAGCAAACACACTCCATTATGTAAAATGAGGTCAGAAAGAGAACAGTGAGTAATATTTATCTGGCTCCCCAGGGATGGGGCAAGAAATACACAGCCTAATTTAGACAAAGAAGATTTACACAGGAAAAGAGGAAATACTTTTAAAACCTATGGGCTGTGAAGCAGTGGAGGAGCTCACCTGAAGCTACTGTGGAGCCAGTGTCATTTAAAGACAGCTTCAAGTTACAAGAGAAGCTTTAGACACAAACTTTGGTCAAGAGCAGTCTAGATGAACGTAGATCTCCCTTAACACAAACTGGGGAGAAGAGTGGGCATGGTAACACACAGGAGTGACGTTTACACAAATCTCTGCCCAGCACTTCTTCTGCTGTGAGGCATCAGGCAGCCTGAGCCAACCCGCTTAAAAGGTAAGAATAGCTCAAATTAAAGTTAAATCAAGTTATCTCCAGCACCAGGGCTCAGCACAGGGAGCCAGAGCTCATCTCCCTTTTGGAGCTGGAAGAGCAGACAGTTACACAGGGAAGTGTCAGTCTGTAACAAGGATGCATTTCAGAAGCTTCCTATAGTGTATCTAAGCTGCTCCATAAGGATACACCCCAGGACTCCTAGCTCTCGGTGCAGTGGGCAGCCCAAGCCTGGAATTTTCCAGATCCCTCCAGACTTACACAAAGTCAGAACTACAGAAATTAAGGTCAGAGCTTTAACATTAATTCTGCTAGGAAGTACCAGCAGAGCACATGTCCTCTCTTGCTTCTGTATGGAGCATCCTGGAGAATTAGGGACAGAAGAACTCTAAAATTGTTTTCTTACTATCAGTCCACAAATGTTGAAAAAATGGAAAATGCACAAAATACTGACACCACCTGTGGAAGAATGAGTAAATGAAAGAATGGATGAAACAAGGGCATTAACCATGGGGGGAAACATGATAAAATTTTAGTTTTGTGTCATCAGAGCTGGAAGTGTGCAAGGTTGTACTGACACTCCTATTTCACAGCAAGTCTCATCAACTAAACCTATTCCTAATCAACAAGCAGTCCTTAAATTATTTGTACAATGGGAAGAACATTTACACTGACTACTACACTTAATTGAAAGTCAAATTAAGATAATTTCCCCAGTCGAACTCAATCCCTAATCAGACTATGTTGAGACTGATGAAACCTATCTAACTGCAGAGACAGTGAATGCTTTGGAAAGATGCTGAAATCTCTTTCCACACATTCCTCCAGCTGCAATGTGAGGGTCCAAAAGCTCACATCCAAACCATTCCTTTCTATCAAAGCAGCACAGACCTCAAATGACATCCCTGAGGCTTCAAAGGAAAAGAAATAAAAAATGTAAGAAAACTTCTTAACTTCATTCCTTCAGCCCCTCAAAGGCAGCACAACATGCTGAAAAACCCAGCTGATAAAACAATCTGCACATCACCTTCCACCACAATGTGGCCGCAGTATCGCAGCCTTTGAAAACCTCTTTGTAAAGGGAATGGGAGAAGAAAGCAGATTCTTCTTTGGGATTAGCAAGAAAGAGCAGCACTGAGGCAAAGCAGGAGAAGTGAAGCAGTGAATTAGCAAAGCAGGTCAAAGGAGTGAGAACAAGATTTCTAAGCATAAAGGAGCCCCCAGAATGGCTTGGGGAAGCTTCTGCTCACCTACTTAATGGGAGCAAAGAGAGATAAAAAGGCAGCTGAAAAGGAAAATGTCTCCTCTGTGTCATTCCCCACCCAAGAAGGGTTTGCTTTGATGCAAACATTTGCAGACAGTGATAAGAAAACCTGGCAGAATCTGGAAAGAATTACTTGCAAACGGATCCTGTCCAGGAAGACCTGATGGGAACAATGTGAATTCAGAAACTTGTAGTTCACCACCAGCCCTGAACTTTTGGTACAGCTCACAAAGAGATTTGCAGCAACTTCCCTCTGCCCCCTCCATGAAATCCTGCAAACCTCTGAGGTTAAACCCAAAGCACTGGGTAGGGGGGTATTATCCAGCATCAGACCAGCAACAGAAACTGAAGTACAGACTCAAAATCTTCACAAAAACAAAGCAAGTACCTGGTTTGAAGGGACTATGGGAAGGACAGGGCAGATTAGGGCCTTTTTTGATGAGTTGTTTGAACAATTAATAGAGCCATCAGTTACTGTGCACCTAGAGAAAAGCAGAGCGAGGAGGCCGGGAGGCCAAGTGGATTTGCTGGAGACAAATCACAACGTATCAGGTTCATTCCCCGCTGTGCCGAGGCAGCGGCTTAATGGAATGCAGGGGATTTTCTGTAGCTGTGAGTAAAGAACGTTAATAGGGTCCCAATTCTCAGGGCATCTAGAGATGTGGATTAAACTGATTCACAACTGGGTCAAATCAGCACATTTATACAGTAATTATTCAGGCTTTTATATGCTCTTGAGGAGAGGGTCCCAGGGGTACCTGGATGGGCAATTTTCACCAGGGAGTTGACGGGCTGGTTATGATAAACAGATTCTTAAATGATACAAAATTGGGATTTTGAAAAAAAATAGGAAATTGGTCTAGGAAGAAAATAATTTTAGCTGAAATGTTTCATGGCTGTGATGATCATAGGACTGAGAATGTAATTTTAATCAATTGGCATGATTGGCCTGAGCTTCTGCCAGACCAAGTGGAAAGTGGGACATGCAGGAAGCAGGGCAGTCATGTGGCAAAGGAGGAGGAGATGCTGGCTGAGGGTGGGAGCCCTTGGGACAGAAGAGATGACAACAGAAACGGGAATGTGTCTTATTTCTAGAGTTCAGTAATAGAAAAAGCCTGTGTCACAGGAAGGCTATGGCCAAATTTCTTTGCTGTATTCCAGGAAAGCTGTGTCAAACAGCAGGCCAGAGAGACAAAAACAGGCACAAAAGAACACAGAAAAATAGCATAGAAGCAATTGCAAATGCTTTTGCCCATATACTACCCAATGTCAGGGCTGGAATGACCCCAAGAAAGTTAAAAGCATGCTGTAAAAGGAAACAAAAACCATTTCAGGTGCCTGTTCTGGAGCAGAGCTGACAGAAGGATGCACAACAACATGCCCCAACTCATGGAGACTCGTGATAGAGTAGGCAGGCATCAATTACTCATCAATCAGCAGGGACAGAGCTGGGAGAAAGAATCAATTCTCAGACTGGTGGAGAAGGTTGCCAAAGTTAGAGATCCCTCCCTTTTGGTGAAGCTGTAATGATTCAAGAGTGAGGCTTCCCTCACACACCAGTCACTACAAAAACACTGCCTCCATGCTCATGTGGCAGTGGACATGAAAATTGCTCATGTGGTCAAGAAAAGTTCCATCAGTGCTCTCTGGAGAAGGGCAAGCAAGCTGGCTTGCTGAAGAATTATAACTACCAACCTGAATTATTTAGACTCATTTTTGTCTTTGCTGTATAATTTTTGTGGGTCTTCCTACCATCAGTCTTCTTTTCTTGCAGAGGGAGACATTTCTAGGGAATGCCTTCACTTTCTATGCTTGGAAACCCTTTTTTGGTGAGTGATGGAGGAGAGCAGTGAGCAGGAAGGTGTTTCACCAGTCCCAAACTCCATGATCCCCTTAACAACAGCAAAAAAGCCAAGTTGCTCTCCATGATTAACCCCAGGTGGGAGCAGCCAGCTCAGTCAGCTTCTCCCCATACAAATTTACGCCCTGTCTTTGGGGGCAGTCCAATGGAGTAACAGGACTGCTCAGCTACACCCCAAATACCACTGGCCAGGCCATAACAAAGGCTCTGGAGGGGGCTGTTGATTGCTCAGAGGCAGGGCAGCTTACCAGCTCTTTGAAGAAGGCAGCCTCCTTATGCTGCTCTGAGTAGCGCTCGTACTGGTCCAGCCCGTCCTGCAGCTTCAGTGTCAGCGTGTCGTAGTTGGACCTGACCACCTCCAAAACCTGCCAGAAACAGTCAGACACAGCACAGGAATCAGCATCCACACACTCCTCAGCACAAGAGGTGCAGGGCTGAGATAGATCACAGCTCTGGCACCTGTTTTCACAACAGAGATGGCTGTAACAGCCAGTATTTGGCTCATGATTAACAACATGGAGCTGGGCACTAAAGGCTTCCTAATGCCAAGGAACAGTCCTGAAATTTACAGAATTTCTCCATTCATAAGAATGGTAGATAAAACCTATATCCATGACAGCAGCAGCTTTCTGTCATCAGAATTAGACATATTAATAAACCAAGCAGCTAATTACCACATGTACACCCAGATGCAACACAGAAGCACAAAACAAACACAGATTTGCCCACTCCCACAGTCCCAAGGTTAGCTTTGTCACCACGCTTCCCTCCTGGCTCATGAATCACCACTCACAGCCTGCTAAACCACCAGCTTCTAGAGCTGCTCAGGTCAGCTTCATACAGAGCACTGCATGTCCCTCCTGATAGGAACAAGCTTCTGACAAGCAGCACTCAGAGAAGACCAGCCTTAGTATGGACCCTGCTTTTACAAAGACATGAATCCAGGTCTTCCTGCCCAGGAGATACTTTCCTGTCTTCAGTTTTTACAACCAAAGCAGTTCCAGCTTTTATTACTGCCTTACTCTGCTCCCAGCATTGGGCTATACTTGCAAACTCATAGTTACATATCTCTGTTCTATTAAACCATTCATTTTCCTAACTAGGGAACACCAAGAGGGACTCCCACAATGATTTTTAGCCTTAAAGCATTGCATGGACTAACATATTCTTCAAAGCACTTGTGAGATGGTTGGTGACAACAATCTCCCTACAAGGAACCATAGAGGTTAACACTCCTGGGCAAACATATGCCTGAAATTATTCTCCCAAACACAGGAACTTCACTCTTAGGTTGTTGCCATTTGCTCTGAGAGCTAAACAGAATATGAGCATGTGAGCTTTGCACTACAGTAATCCCAGCTCATGACAAGCTTCAGCCAGGAAGACACGTGGTAAAAGGTGCAAAAGAAGAGGACCCTGTTCAAAGGCATCACAACTCAGAACAGATCCTAAGAACAGCATTGCAGAGGATTGAAGACAGCAGTGACCAGAACAACAAGGAGCCCTTGCACTTCTCCTCTTGTACTCCCAACAGTGTAAGCACTACTGTCAACTGCTCCTTTAGGCAGCTGGCAGCTCCTGCCCTTTACAGATATCTTGTCCTTACATTTTTTATTCTAAGAAATCTAAAGTTGCTTAGGGTTCATTCAAAAGCTTGCTTCTCCCAAACTCTGCACGTGGCAGTGGTGCACAGAGATACTCATGCTAGGGCCTGAGATGGCAGAAGCTACAGGGAGTCATCCAAATGAGGACTGGGGGTAAAAAAAGGGGTTCCAGAATGGTTCCCAGGTGAGATGGTCACAGCAGTCTCTGCAGCTCAACTGTCCTGCAGCATTGCAGACACAAGCTAGGGAGAGGAATAAGGATTTGGAGGAAGGTCTCAGAGCCCTTTCCCAACTGCATTGACTCTGATTCTGCAATGTTATTTAAGAACAGCTTGCCAGTGTTGCAAAGGCTCACATCCTCCTCTCCAGCACTCATTTCCTAATGCTGTTTTGTTTGTCAGCTCCACTGGCAGAAAGAACTCCCTGCAATGACATCCATCTCCAAATTCAGCCTGCCCTTCTTGCTCCTGTGTGCAGAAGCTACAAGAAGTATTGCAGAGCCAAGAGCAATGATGAAAGAAAGCCACCTGGGCACAGGAATAACTATCCACTAGGGACACGGTGTAATAGCATAATGCACCTTCTTCTGAGCAATAAAGGATCTGGCAGCTTGCTCCTGTCAATCAGAGGAAGCCAAATTGATCAAGATTAATAAGCTGCAGAGAAAATCCTGGTTTGAAAGGTGAGGAGTTGAACAGGCATCTCCCGCAGTAATTCAAGAGCAAAGGCATTTCATTCAGGGTTACCTGACTCACCAGGAACCTTCCCTTCAGTCTCCCTGTATTCCCATACACACAGGTGTGCACAGTGCCACACAGCTGTGATTGCTCAATGGATGTGTTCCTTTAGGAATAATCAGGATTCCTCCTTGCTAGCTCTGAGTAGAGATCTCTTCAGATAGTCAAGAGAGGCATTCTCAAACCATGGTGAAGAGAAGTAAACTCAGAGCAGTAGTGAGTCCTGTAACCAGAATCCTTTAAATCTGTCTGCTTGCATCACCTTTGAAAGGCATGGAACTAAGCTAAGAACTCAGTCTGACACTTCAGGACGAGGACAGGGAAGAAAAGAGGCCCCCAAAGTCTCTACTCTGTTACTTATTGTAATCTCTGCAGTGAGCTTGAGATCAGCTTATCCCTTCACTATGTATTTCATTGGCTTCCACTCCTTATCTCCTTTAATTATGAAATAGAACTTAAAAAGAAAGGGTAAGTTAAAAATAAACAGCTTCTCCCCACTGCCTGATAATTTCCCTTTCTTGCTGCTACTGAGAAAAAAATGCTACGTGGGATCTGAGATAAACCCACTCACAGATCATTTCAAACTCACACCTTGTAATGGATAGAAGCTATTACTGAGATTAGGACCTGCCATCCTTGAGATGACTTCATCTGCTCTTTAAGATGCAGCTGCTAGACAGAGGACAGGTCAAAGAGCAGCAGAAGGTATTAAGAATACCTAACAGGAAGGTTTAAAAGTCATCAACTTCCTACACAGATGACAAAAAACCTCACATCCTTGGTGTAATAGAAGACTGTATGTTAGCATCCTTTGCCCTTCTTACACATTGCTTTGACTTTTGCTCAGGAAAACTGCTGCAGGAAGAACAGCCTTTTTCCTTAAACACACAAGATCTTTATCTGCACTTTCTGTCAGATCCAAAGGAACTAGAGCAATTTAATTTTGAGATTAAAGCATTTCTCCTTCAAAGTCTTGTTCAACCCATTCTTCTTGGAAGTCTCATGTCTAGAAAACATGAATTCCAAGATGGTCAAGTATGAGAAGGGAAAGGCTTTTTAGCTGTTCTTCCAAAAGATTTTAAATACTCATTCAGATTTTCACCATCTCATGAGAAACTGGAAAAATACCAGTTTTAGTGTCAGGCAAGGACAGATGAAATCGGACTGTAGATGATCTTCAAGGAGTTTGATGTGACACCCCTAAGACTGCAAGGATAAACATGCAGGGGAAGCTTTTTTCTTTTTTAAAAAATAGTTTACTGGATCTTTACAGTGGAAAAAAAACCCCAAAAAAACCAACAAACAAACCCTAATGGAGTCACAATCTAAAAGTCTTTTTGTAGGTTACCTTAGGGGGATCAGAGTCTTTAAAAAGCAGTATGATGCAAGCAAGCAACTCAGACAGGGTCAATACAAGAGGAGGGAAGGCTGCTGAATTCCCTTCCTGCAGTTACCTGTATCAGCCCCAGAGGCTATATTTGCTCATTTTTTCCACTGCAACAACCAGAACTCAATGGAGCTGTACCGCTGTAATTTAAAGATAATTTGCCATCAAATTAACCCCCTATCACCACTCACTCTCTGACTGCTTTCCAGAAGTTCCAGGGAAATGCTGGAGATTCAGGTCCCTGCATGTGTGTCCCCAAACCAACTTTTCAGGAGCTGCTCTGAACAGCAAGTGCTTTCTCTGGCATTCAGATTGCAGCTTCCTCCTGCAGCTACAACTGCCCATGCCCCATAAAACTCTCCTTCCCCAGTCACACCAACAGCTTGTGAGTAGAGGCAACCCCTCAGGAGCATGGCAGGAGGGCTGGCTTCCAAAGAGGGGCTGATGTGGGGCTCAGCTCTGTGCAGCATCCCACCCATGCCATGCCAGGTCACTGCACCCAGAGGAACGAGATTATTTCCCAGTTCGTGGCTCCTTACTTTGCTCCATCCACCAGCTCCTTCTACCACTGCCTTGCAAACTGGATGGACAATCTTGGTCAGTTGGGTCAGTGGTCTCCTCTCACACAAGCTCTGAAACCATTTCCCCCAGAAGCAGTTGCCCCTGCCCTGAAATTTTCAGCATTCAAAACACAGCATCATTTTGCTGTACTAGTCACTACCACTGACTTTTTCCTTACTGCACCAGAGCTGTTCCCTCTGACTGATCCTCAGCAAGAGCCAACACACTGCACTCCCCCAGGAGAGACCAGTCCTCCTGCAAGATCCTGTCCTGGAGAAACACAGGGATTACAGCACTCTCCTATCCCCACTGTGCCCAGGAGAGCACTGCTGCTGTTAGCAGCAATGCCACAGAGGGAGCTGCACCAGCAGTAAAACCTAATGGGCAACATGCAGCTCTAGGGCCCATCTATCTAGGAGACATCATCTGCTTCACTGCTTAGTAACTTTTTAACCTGCAGAATCCTTCATCATCTGCATCTGCAGTCTCTGCCTTACTGGAACATAAAATTAGAGAGCACCAGCAATTCACAGCACCCAGCAAAGGACCTGGTGGTGGGTAGGTTCCAGGGAGCATGCAGAGGCAATGACAAAAATAAAAGGAAAAACAGAAACAAGAACAAACCAAGGTCTCTACATTGTCTTTTTAATTAGCACAGGAAAGCACAAGAATGCAATCAGTCAGCATCACCAGTACCTCACTAAAACCTCTCCATGCCCATAAGACAGTTATTAACAACCATGACACAGATTGAATGATCTCACACCGAGCAAAAGGTAAAACACCCCCAACAATGCCCAGGTTAAAATGCACTTGCCCCCTCACCAACTCCCAGCTGCTCAGGGAGGGGGGAGTGTCTCAGGTCAGGACTAGCAAGGCCCCACAGGACAGAAAAGCCAGAGGCTCTGTCCCATCTGTTCCATGGCAGAGGATGGAGCAGCCAGCCTATGGGGCACGTAATGCCAACCTCTCATCAGCACTGCTGCACAACAGGGCAGGACTGAGGGCAGCCAAACATGCCTTCTGTGCACCCTGCAGAGGTGTGGAGGCACTGCCTGTGTACCTCACCCAGAGGG